ACTGACATCGAGAAGCTAACTGACTGCCGATCCTCCTCTGGATAATGACATCAACTGGTATCAAGTCCTGCCATAATCTCCAACAGAATAACAAAATGATAGGAGGTATGATAGGGCTCCACAATAGGCGAAATGAGTCCTGCACTGGCCTGCTAGAGCGGATCAGCTGCCATGCTAATTTAGTATTAAATCGTCATCTAATGTAACCCTCTAGAAATGCAATCCGAGACATCAAGACATAGTGGAATGGTCGCGATTTGCTCTGCCATAGCTGATGGAAGAGCTTGTAGTAATCGCCCAAAATCCCATCCAGTCTCTTTGAAAAAGTCATGCACCTTCGCAAATATATGCTGTCTGTGTGGGAAAATGGATGCCAATGTAGAATCACCCATCCAACAATCATGCCAAAAGGAGATTTGTCCTATCCCAAGGCGCCACGAAATGTGTCTCGACGCATGATCCAAATCTCTTCAATCTCTTCCAAATAGAAGAGGCTGAGTGAGGAACTGTTACAAGCGACGAATGCGTCCCTCTACAATATTTGCCCAGTAAAAACTTGAATAACTACCATAGGTTCAATGAAAATGTGTCCATCGTATTCTGTAATCGTCTAAAACCCAGACCTCCCTGGTCAGGAAGGCAAATCCCAAACACTTGGGGTATGACATTATTATATAGTCATCATTCATATATTGAGTTTCAATCAACGATTCTGGATCAATTCCACGTAGCTCTATTATGTTATCCATACTAAACTACATTAAGTGCACGTGTAAGTTATTAGACAAAAATGAATTATTGTACGTTCAATACGCCATACACATGCACATCATATTCCATTCTTTATAGACCGTGTCAATTAAACTCATCATAACTCCATCCTATGAAAGCTCCATTAAACCACGAAAATTATTAATTAGTTTCATTTTATGTTGCATCAACCAGTTTCCTTTCAAATGGAATAATGATAAAAGTGGCTATAAAACTTACTCAAAACTTCCATCCATCCAGAAATAAGCCAAATAAAACACCCTATTCAATTCCAAAAGCAATAACACACACAAAAGTCCAATCCCTTCATTGTACTACAGAAGAAGCACACAAATTTGAAAAAAACCATTCACAAATCCAGATAGAAAGTGCCCAGAAAGTACTACTCCAAGCGCTTTCATCTGAATAAAAAGTATCATCTGAACGTAAACAAGTAAAACGCTATTCGTAGTCACATAGGACCAGCTAAATTGTTATGGTAATATCATAAACATAAATGCCCACAAAATATAAAACGAGAAGATGCCTTCTTTCTTTCCTGCGGTATTTCACTCATGGCTTTAAACGAACCCACTCGTACCTGCCTTCCAATGGAACATCATTTACTACATCATAGTTGTACCTGAAAATAATGCAAAACCAACCAATCAAATGAAAATTACTACTTTGTTTCCATTTTAAGTAATTTAACAAGTTGTTCATGAATGCTAAATTGAGCGTTTTGGCTGATGGTTTTTATCATGCCCGGAGAAACATAATAATTTGTATTTTGTACTCACTTTTCGGCGAATAGCTGTTGCTGGTACTTTTCTTCTGCTGCAAAGAACTCTTCCAGCTCCTTCGCCGATGGCATTTTACCATCCGCCGATGAAATTATCTGGCGAGAATTCGTTGGAGAGGATGGCTCCTTCTTCTTTGACTGGGGCAAAAACACCATTAATGATTTTTCCGAGTCTCCGTAGATCTCTCTTGTTGGTGACGTTTCTCTGCTAAAAAAAAATTAAAACAAAAAAAAAAAAAAATCAAAGATACATGCATATATACACAAATGCATGTATATATCATGCATAAGTTCAGAAAATGAAACCGTGAAAATTAAACTAAGTTAAACAGAATTAATGAATATATTTTAATTTCATTTTTTACCTGTAAACATTGTTGATGGGCACAGAAATTTCAGTTTCATATCCATCAGTCTGAAATAAACATTAAATTTATAAAAATAAATAAAATCAATTTATAACCAGCACATAAAGCTTGACAAAAGAAAAAAGGTTAAAACTATTTCGTAAACATAACGAATCTGAAAATGAGTTTGAAATGAAGTTTGAATTTTCACCTTCAGATCTGAAGAACTCAGATTCTCTTTCACGAAGTCGCTTTCATTGTTAACCTCCGCCATAGCTTTATTCTCGGCTCCTCCTTCCATAACTTTCTCACTCTTGCATTTCCTCAGTTGCTCCCCCATCTCTCTCTAGGCATACTATATATATATATCTCTCTCTCTAATATACACGTATGTATGTGTAAATCTCAACATCGATGTTCGAGACGACAGACAGAGTGGGGGAAAGATTTTCAAACTTTGTTGTTTTCTCATCTCACGTTAAGTTGAAATATTAAAGGTGTTTTTCCACTGTTGGACACCCACTTAAAATCTAATTTGAATTTATTAAAGGAGTAATTAAGGCTTGTACTATGTCATGACTAACAGAACTATGATTAAAAAAATTAGGGTTTTATAGCAATATCAGTTTTAGATTCTTATAAATTTAATTAAGGAAATTGCTTTAATTAATATATGAAGTAATTAAAATTTTATAAGTATAGTTTACCATTTGTATTTCATGAAATCCTAATTAATGATAGAAAACATAGTTTGACAAAAACTAAAAACACCCATGACTTATATTTGTGCTTCAGTTTTAAATTAAAATAAAATTACAGCATTTGAGCTTTAAAAATCGACTACATTTTTACATTAAACTAAAATAATTTAAAACAAGTTTTACATAAAATTGGAAGCTGTTAAATTTTCTGCAAGATATTTAACAAGTTATATTTTTACTGGAAAACTACATAAATTATCAATAAAAATGTCAATTTTAATTTTCCGTAATTATATTACTATGCTTATGATCGATGAAATATTCCTAAGACGAATGTCACTGACATGTTGATATCTCAGACAAATATGTAATAATAAATAATTAAGAAATTATAATAGAAGAGATTATATCTTGTTTCGGTAAATATTTCAATAAATTTAGCAATGAATTAGAGAGTGTGATAAATATATATAAATTAATGATCTCTTAGACATCGTCACATGACACATCAATTGTCGCATCAATTGATTCATAAATCATTTAATTCTCCCATATGCTCCAATTTAAAATTTAATAAGAACAACACTTTTTACTTGATTTTGTATTAATAACCTTATTGTTTATCTAGTTGTGCGATCTCTTTAGCTGTCTCTAGACCACACGCAGTAAAACAGCAAAAAATTGTTATTGTTTTCTCTATCTGCATATATATTGTTAATGGTTTGTGCAATTCAGTACGTAATAAATCCGGAAACACCTAGGAAATTGCAGTAAAAGGGAATGTAAGTGGACAAGTAATTGATTTTTTGACACCCAAAATGCATGACAATGTGCAATTTTATTTGATTTTTCCACTGCCTAAAATTAACCCCTTTTAGTTACCTAGCGGCATGGACCATATTCTGAGGTCTGAACCACCGGTTTAGTTGTTAAATTCAACAACTAAACATACTAAATCCTGCAATTGTAAGTGCAGGAAATGAAGACAATGAACTGAGGAAGAAGAAGACGGAAATTTCTATTAATCAAGCTTGAAGAATTTGTGAATTACATCCAGATATTTATAGAGTATCAGCCCAACTAATTAACTGTCTAATTATCTAACTAACAACCTGAATTAACTGTCTAACAAACTAACAGCATTAACAGAAGTTGAGCTGGAGCTTTCATCACCGCCAGCTATTTTCTTCTCTGGTTTCTTTTTCTGGTTTGCTGTATCGTAAGAGCCCCCCACCAGAGGGACATGAAAATTCAAAATGCCCATCTTGGAGTTATTAGTATGAAAAGGGACAGAGCCAAGGGGTTTGGTGAAGACAACTGCAACTTCATGATGAGAAGGAACATGAATAATCTTGATTAAACCAGAAAGCACTTTCTTCCAAACAATGTGGCAATCAATTTGAATATGCTTAGTTTTCTCATGCAAGACAGGATTGGTGGCAATAGATTGAGCAAATTTACTATCAGTATATAAAAGTGCAGGTTGAGAATGCGCAATATCCAAATCATGTAGAAGATAAATCAGCCACTGGATTTTACAGGTTGTAGATGCTAAAGATCTATATTCAGTTTTAGCTGAAGATCTACTCAGGTGGATTGCTTCTTCGATCTCCAAGAAATTAAGGAATCCCTACGAAAAATGATAAAACCAGTAATGCTTCGCCTTGTGTCAAGGCAGCCAGCCTAGTCATTGTTACTATATGCTTTCAGGTGGAAGACAGATTTGGAGGAAAAGAACAAACCCTGACCAGGTTTCACGGGGTGCCTTTCTTCTTGGCACAGAAAGGGGCACTGTGCGGTAGTAGTCTACTCCACTAGACTACCTTTTACCTTTTCTCGATCATTTCGAGATGAAAGAAAATTTGATTACAATTTGTAGAAAACTTGCAACATGAAATTGAAATGCATTGAAAGTAAATTGATCAATGAGCTTGAAATCTAGGAATTACAATTGATGAAAGTAGAAAATTACAATGGTTGGTGCACGAGACGAACACCAGAAAGCTTGAAAGATTATTTAAAAGACTAATACCCACTATGATAGCATTCGAAACAAAAATCTAAGTGATAGAAGTAGACGTTTAAATGTCAAGAAATCATACTAAACATTTACCAATATCAGAGTTATTTTACAATTGTAATAAACCATTACATTGAAAATGAAATTACAACTCAAACTTGAACTAATATTTATAATGTGTGGCCGAAGTTGGGCAAGCTGCGGTTGCGATTAGGTCAAGGGGTTTAAGCAAAGTTGCGATCCTTGACATTCTCCCCCATTTGTTTTAGCGAAGTCCTCGGAGCTGTTAATGAATAATATGCTTCAATTAATGGTTCGAAAGCTCCAAGGTCTTTTTCACTTTTCCAAGTATTCTCCTCGCTCGTGTATGCACTCCGTTTGACCAAGTATTCTTGATGATTTTTCCTGAAAGCTCGAGTAGTTCGATAGTCAATATTCTCTTCAGCAACCTTCTTTCCATCTTTTTTCATTTCAAACACAGGACATTTTGGCTCATTTTTGGATGCGTCCTCCTTGTCGACAAAGTATGATTTGAGTACACTAGCATGAAGGACCTTGTGGATTTTGCACCATGAAGAGAGTGCAACTCCGTATGCGACTCTTCCGACCTACTTCATGATGGGTAATGGTCCAATATATTTTGACACCAATCTTGAATCTTTCTCTCTTGTCAATTTATAATAGTTTCTGTCGAGGAGTTTTACTATTATCAGATCGCTAACATTAAATTCAAGGAAACGACGATTTAAATCTGCAGACTTTTAGTACCGTTTCTAAGCTTTCTCAAGATAACTCCGAGCAATGTCAATGTTTCATTTTCACTCTTGAGAGAAATTTTTTGCTCGAGAAGACTTTGTACTTTGATTGATATCCATAGTATGAAGGAGTAATGGTTCCTGATCAGTAACAATCTTAAAAGGACTCTTATTGGTGGAAGAGCTCTTTTGGGACATCTGATGGGCATCCTCATGTTTCACCCAATTCTACTACGAAGTAGAATAAAGTATCGATAATATTCTTCTAGCATAGAATTGAAGTGCTTCGTATGTTCGTCAGATTGTGGGTGAAAACTAGAACTCATGCTCAAATTTGAACCAAGAAATTTGAACAACTCGGTCCAAAATTTGCCAGTAAATCGAGGTCCCCGATCACTAACGATGTCCTTAGGTAGTTCCCAGTATTTAACAAAATGTTTGAAAAGAGTTAAGCCGTCTCTTTGACTGATATATACTTGGGCTCTCCGATAAAAGTTGCGTATTTTGATAGACGATCTACCACGACGATGATAGTGCTAAAATCTCTAACTTTTAGCAATCGAGTAATGTAGTCCATCGATACACTCTCGAATGGTCTCGTTGGTATGGAAATGGGCTCTAGCGAGCTTGCCTTTTTCTGATAATCCACCTTATCTTGTGACAAACAAGACAAGTTTTTACATAAGTTGTAATGTCGTCCCGTATTTGAGGCCAGTAGTATGCACGTGTACTAGTGCAGAAGTGCGTTCCTTTCCAAGATGCCCTTCCCAAATTGTGTCATGACATTCTGTGATTAGTGATTTCTTCAAATCTCTGCCTTTTAGGACATATAGGCGGTCTCCCTTAGTCTTTACTCGACCCCCATCGAGCCAGAACTGTTGAGTTTTTTGCTACTTGATGAGGTTGACCAAATATTAAGTAGCCGAGTCCTTATCCAAAAGAGCAGCCATAGAGCAAATTGTGTCCAGTCGGTTCGATGACTAAAAGTATCGGCAACATGATTACTAGATCCGGGATAGTACTCTAGTATGAAATTGAACTTTGAAAGAAGTTCCTGCCAACAAGCCTGTTTGCTTAATAGTTTCAATTAGGACATGAAATGACTCACCACAGTCTTATCTGTCTTCACAATAAATGGAGAGACCCAAGCAAATAGAGATACCATCCCCTAAGGCAATAGACTACCACCAACAACTCCTTTTCGTACGTCGAGTAACGACGTTTGGCTTGATTTAACTTTCGGCTTTCATAAGCTACCAGATGTCCTTCTTTCATAAGGACTCCACCAAGTACAAAGTCTGAAGCATCGGTATGCACTTTAAATGGTCTAGCCATATCAGGCAAAGCTAACATCGGGTTCATCCACATAGATTTTTTCAACTTTTTGAAAGCATTNGAGTACCCTTTCACAAATCTTCGATATTTATTGCATAGCTCGAGAAATGAACACACACCGTGGACATTCTTTGGTGGCTGCTAATCGTATTTTTCCTTGTTCGATTATGTGACCCAAGAAACTGATCGACGTCTGGGCGAATGAGTATTTCGACGGCTCAACATAGAGTTCATTCTCTCATAGCTGACTGAAAACCTGCCTAAAATGTTGCACAAGTTCTTCCAATGTCTCACTATAAATGACTATGTCAACCATGTACACCACTACAAAATCGTCCAAGAACCCGTGAAATACCTGATTCATCATTGTACATAATGTTGCTGGAGCGTTTGTTAAGCCAAAAGGCATCACCTTAAATTCAAAGGCTCCATATCTAGTCACCACCGTAGTTTTTTCTTCATCTCCCTCTTTGATCCGAACTTCCCAGTATCCGAACCTCAGATCAATCTTTCTATAGTACCTCGACCG